TTGGCCTAATCCATTAAGACATTTCAGTGAGAAACAGAATCACTGAAAACTTCCTAGATCAGAAGCAGATAAATTCTATGAGCTACATTTCTAGAGTTGCTAGTCATCTTTTGGATGCTACTCATTTCCTGCAGTTAGCATGCATTAAAGAAACCCAAAAGATCACATAAAGTTTATATAATATTCACTACTATTAGTGAAATATAAACTATTACTGTAATTCTCATAAGGATTTAGCTTCATTGCCAGCAAAACAGGCTGTGTTTCCTTTTCTCAAAAACCCTCAGATATCACAATGGCAGGTGACCTCATAAAAATCGTACAGACAGAAGTGAGAGAAGTAGAAGGGGAGATATTGAAAAAAATCAAAAACATTAAAACGCACCTCACATCATGAATGTCTGAGAACACCTGTTTTGCCTAAAAATATAAGACAATGAAAACAGTGTAAACATAATTAAAGAGCTACACATGTAACTACTAATAAAGCTGCTTACTATTGAAAGACTTTCATAAAACGGACAGTTGTGGTTCAACTTTCAAGCTAAAATTCATGATGTACTATATGAGTGTTTAACCATGCAACTATATCATCTTCTAATGTTCTTTCAGGTGAAAGATATTTACATCTACTACACAGTGAGGGATACATATATAAATGTAAAAAAAATATGCTGCTGTAAAGAACAGAATATTTTAATAGTGAAATAGGATGATTCATCTCTCCTGTTGCTCACAGATGTCAAAAACAAAACAGTCTGGGCTTCCCAAAACCCCACTGTTGCTACCAACATTATGCCTGGAAGTTCCTGTCATCACAGTCCTGCTTCCCTTTGTTACGCTATTTGCCCTCAAACTCATATCTTTCTCCAACTATTATCTCCCTATAGGATCCTTAGTTCGAGACAAGAACTGTTTACTCCTTTTTCACTATGATATAGAATGTAATCTGGACCTAGTGTGGCAATTCCTACTGGATCTATCTTTTCCTTCCTGCAGACATTCTCTTTCTTGGCAGTCCTGCAAAGATGTTTTTGTAGAACAAGGAATTACTGTTAGTTTCAGGTATTTTTTAAGTTATGGTCTTACTACGAACTCCAATTTATCTGCCTTTTTTTTTTTTTTTAAATAATGCTTGTCATTTCTTTCTGAAACATCATGCTTTTGTAAGCGTCAGCTCTGATCATTCCTACATCTTATAACATATACTTCCAAAATGCATTGCAAATCAGCTCTCCTACAAAGTGAAACAGAACTATTAAGCTCTTGAATAGTCATTTTACAAATTTAATGCATTTAGTTACAAATACTAGAGTATTTCTCTAGTATTTCCTCCACAAGGCTTTCTTAATACTTGTAAAGCTTGATTTGAGAGTGCTGATCCCTATTCTGTGAAGTGAGCTAGTGTCATTAGGATGACACAATCAGGCCTTATTGTCGTAAGAAGCAGCATCATTTAGTATCAATGGAAAACTGCTATTGATTCAAACTCCTCCTTGCTTCATGGGTGAAATAACAGGCTCCTACACTCCGACTAGCGTACCAATAGAGAACAGAGGCAAGAAAAATACCAAAAATGGATGCATTAAAGATACAACAGGAAATATATGACTCATGAGATGTAAATTCTTTTATCTGTATGGAATAAATTGAAGAAGAGCTTAATATGGCTTCTATGATTTCTATGGAGTTAGATTAGAACAGAAATATACCTACCAATAATACACCAGATTTAGGCCACCCAACCAGCATCTCCTAACTGCTCAGCAACCTCTGTGAAACAAGTAAGCTTCATTTTCACTATCTAACACATGACTATTCACATTTTAAAAATGACTCTTTTTTTAGCATCCTGGTTGGCTGTTTCAGCATAAGACCAGGAACTGATTGAGTCCACAGTCTAAATTATCCTTTCACATTACTGGCAGGATCTCTTTAAATTGGAGCTAAAACACAGTCTATCAACATGGAGATGTTTGCTCTTCTTTTTCTACTTCTGAAAAAGAGCAATTTTCAACCAAAAATCTGTATTTTTCTTCTTATAAAGATATGGAAGAAAAACATAGTTATGGTCATGCAATATTAATATAAACAACACTTTGCACATAAATAGTTCTCTTTCCAAAACTTGAAGTGTCCTTAAGCACCTTCATGAACTAAAAAAAACCAAAAACCTAAAATATAACTTATATTGCCTAATTGCACCCAAATTTTAAGATACTTTTGAACACTGTTGTAGCACCTAAGTTAGCATGCTAGAATTCTCCAGTCCATTACTTAAAATGTGAACAAAGTAACATACAAGTCATTAAAAAATCATTTCAAGACAACTTCTTTTTAAAAATACAACAGTGTATGGAACAGAGCTATTTTCATACCCGATCCAGGAAATGGATGAGGTGTGAAAGAAATCTCTTGTTTAATGTGACCTTTGGCTGTACTTTCACTTGTCATCATTATAAAGTAGCTGCTTTCACTGCCAACACATAAGCTGTGTTATATTACCCTATAACAGTAGTAGCATGTACTTCAGGAAGCGCTTCATACTCTTGAGAATCTGGTGGCAGAACGTATTGACAGCACTTACCTTTGTAACCACATGTAACAGGCCCTACTGAACAATAAGGTCTCGTTTATGATAAAGAAAATAAGAGTGACTGTACAAAAATTCATAGATCGTGTCACATAAACCAGTATACGCTCAGGAACTCACTTGGAGTTCTCGGTTTCAGTCAAAACATTCAAATAAAGAGAAATGTAAATTTCAGATTAAAATTCTGCCCCAAATGATGATAATATTCAGGGCTTTGTTACAGTGCACAGACCAGAAATACTGCATCGTTAGGATCTGCAACATACTTGACTTTTCTAAACATATGTAATTAAGAAAATATTTCTGAAAAGCGTATGAATTTGAAATTCGAGGAGGATTAATAGAACAAATATGATAAATCTACATTTTTTGCAATGGTAGCAAGCTGCAGAATAAAAATCAGTAGCTATCGTTATCTAAAGCTGTTCATCTAATGCTGTAGAGAGAAAAACCACTGATACATACTGTACACACATTTTTATCCATGTATATAAATCAAAGGAAACAGCTTCCTTTAAGGCAAGCATATGAAGATACTAAAGCAAGATACAAATTAAATATTCATACATTCAATATTTCAAAATAAGGAATTTGGATATACACATGCATAATTTAAGTTCTATAGTGAAACCTGTCTACAGAGGCCATTTCTACTGTATTTCAACAGCACTGAAACTTGAAACGTACAATGCTGCCTTTCCATGCTGTGTTAAAACTTTAAAGTATATAGTAATTCATTTCAGGCACTAAACATAGAATAAAGGCCATGTTATGCACACGGCACTTTTCCACAGGAACTATTGCTTTGCCCTATTCATTAAAGCTCCTTCAGCACTATGAAACCATGCTGCCAGTCACAGCACTTTCCTGCAAGGTGGCTTCAGACTGCAGAGGAGTTACTCACTGGAAACAGAAGTTAAGTAGGTAACTTCAGATAAGAGGTTCATAGTTTCTGAAAAACACACCAGTGAAAATTTACTCTGAGTCAAATTCTAATCTGAGGTTCCTGTTTCAAACTCCATGGAGGTGGTGCTCATGTAGGAAGCCCGAATTTGACCCCTTACACTGTTTTTATACATTTACTCAAGCCTCTTCCGAGAAAAAGACTAGATTTCAGATCTTTTTAATTGGCAGAAGACCGCAATGCAACAACAGGCTTTGCAACAATGTGCTGTGCAGTAAGAATGATTCTTCATGAATGCAGAACACTAGTTTACATATAACAACACAGCGATGCTAAATTTTTGGAGCTTATAAATTCCTATGCATACAAAAAAACAGCGAGGAAAAAAATGCAACCCATCTTTCACTCCGACACCTATCTCCTTCTACATGTATCTAGAGACACCATCATTTCTCCCCATATATTTAAAACTTTAATAGTAAGACGGAACTCTCCATAAGAATTATTAATACGATTCTATTATTTTCTTATTAGCGGAAGTTAAATACATTAGTTCATTTATGAAGAGGCTCATTAAAAAGCATGCTTTTTATTTTGACAAAAATATCTGTAGTAAACTTTAAGAATAACTAAAGAGTAATTAGCAATGGGAAAATAGAACAACTCTGTTCAATGGGAAAATAGAACAACTCTGTTTCTATACATTGCACAGTAAACATTTATCTTTGTTCCTTAAAGGTCACTTATTTGAGCTTGACACACCTATGAAATAATAGAAGCAAAAGCTAAATAAGTAGAAAAGCAATATTAAGCAATATGAAACTAAACAAAATTAGTATTTACATGGTAAATTACTTTATTGAAAATCAACTATGGATTCTGCAAAGAATATACTTTTGCCTTAGAGCTAGTACTTTAATTTTCAAGAACCAAGAAAGAAAAAAAAAAAAAATCAAAACTAGTCAGTAACAATGCAGCGTAGAAAAGCAATAAACTCAAAATTAAGTTATAAATAATTTAAAGCATGTCATGAAGATGTATTAATAATTCATCAGATAAATAATTTACTAAATAATCAAATAAATAAATAATGAAATACATAAATAAATCAGCAAATAAATAATTCTGCAAAATAACCTAAACAATAAGTCACTAAAACAAATGACAAACCTGCAAAACTACAATGATTTTCTAAATTCTGATAGTTTTAAATAAACAAATGTATATAAACTAGATCAATCTTTGGTGGATAGAGAAGTATTTTTCACTGCTATTGGTAAATTCCTGATTACACTGCACAAGGATACAATTTTAGATTTTACAAGACTGCAGTTTTTTTTCCTTGTAAATTATTAACACAATTGCTACAATACATCCTGCTCTGTATTTTACATGTAATCCCTTTACGTAGCTCATTTTTCCCCCCTAAAATGAAAATCTCTTCACAACACTCTTAAACCCTTCTCCCTCCTCCCCCTTCCCCCCTGCCAGTGCAGTACTTACAATACTGCAATAGCCTTCTTGGTGGTTCTCTTACTATCTTCTGCAAACCTTCAGAAGTTTTGCTGCAGGGAGAAAACAAGTAGAGTAACCTTAATTATTACAGATGGTATCTCATTCATTAGCGGATGACAACATTTTATTTGAAAGCACAAGAAAAGCTGTTTTATAATTCTACAAAGCAACTTAATGTGAAACAACCCTTATAGTTTGCAGACTACCAAAAGTTTTTAGAAGTCTTTGGTGGAATGAGTTCAAGCAGACTGAGGCCTGTTTCTTGTATTTAAGCTGACACACAATCTGTGCAAACTGGCACTAATTCAGATGTAAAGACGAACCACGAGAAGGACAAAATACTTGGCCGACATCTAATGTTATCCTTGATTTTCAAAGTTCATAGTCCTTGAAAGAATACGAGACCATTTAATATCCACTATCTAAGTACATTCACAATTTAATTAGAACATTGCACTCCAAAGCCAACACTGACACCACAAAGGTCAAAACTCACTGATCTCCTGAAGCAGTTTACGTTCTCTATTTATTTTAATGAATAATAATGACAGTCATCACAGTTTTCTTCAAAGTGGTATTCTGTAAATATAGTATTTAAAGAAACGTGTCAGAAGTGTAATCGTGTTATCAATTTTAATCTGTACTGTCTAAAACGAGGCTCATTTTCTTCCTTCCATAACAATTTTAAAAAGCCACTCACTGATACAGATTCTTGATCTCTGTACAGGCCTGTAAAACTGAATGAATGCCTCAAACCTAAGTTACTATACAATTAAATGTTGTATATGTACATGGTTTTTGCCATTTGGTTCAAAGGAAGTCAGTAAGCAGTGTTCTTCCTGCTGGTAAGATCTCAAATGGGCATGGTTTTATTGTATTTCACCATTTAAAAGTATAAAATGCAATTTACTCTTAAAAATAACTTGGCGCATTTTATTTAACAAGTCTCAAATTCTCTTCAGGGATTATAATAAGGAAACACTTTGCTTTAATCATAAATTTTATATTTATCTTGGCTAAACACCCTCCTTTGGATAGACTGCCATGTTTCGTCAAGAAAAATCAACACAGCGGAAATGAAGTACTTGTTCTGTTGTGTGGTCATTCAAAAGAGTATGTAGAAGTAATGTAAATGTGCACCAGCGCTGCTGATAATTTCACGCTCTCATACACTCGTTTCAATTTGCTTTAAAAAGGACTATTCCTCCTGGCTAAATATAGTCATCATGAAAAAGCATAACCCCCTTTTGAGCTAATAACATTGCAAGCCCCAAAACACAACAGTACCAAAAAACTTACATAACATTTTAAGGAATCTGAGAGACTTCTTTCTCAGAAGAGATTTTTCTGAAGTGGGACAAATGAGACCACATTTTTTGCTATGATATTCTCTTTTACTACCGAGATCTCTGTTTTGAGGAGGATACTTCATTCCTGCCTGCAACCCCCCAAACACAAATCACAGATATCCCACATCCTTCTTTTTTAAAGTAATGGATCCTTGAAAAAGCACTATATACTTTTCCCACATTAAAAGATTTTAAGGATTACTGGGACATACAATGGCTCAGGAATGATCCTGAAGTTGGGGAATTGGACTTTCTGTAGAAAGTACCACTAAGTCATAGATCACCTTCACTTATCTCCAGTGTGGCAGCCTCTGGTAGCAAAGTGATGTTTCACTAATGAGTTACAGTAGAGCTAAAAGTGTAATTACGGTCACCAATGTCTTAAAATATATATTTTTACCTTTTAAAATCTTCCTTGTTTTTAATTACAGTAATGTTTAATTTTGGCTTTTCGTGTATGGTTCCAGAATCGACCTCCTCACAGTGACGCTTGTTTGTCAATTAGAGGCCCACCGTTCTCTGCTCAAACAGACAGGCGGGTTATTTATAGAAGGGACACCTCAAGCAGAAGGCAATACAGCCAGTGACCTGAGAAACAGACACCTTTTTCTCTTCCACAATCAAACGCAAATTCCACCCTCGATACAAGGCAAAGCACAGAAACTGTCCTTTCCTCAGTTCTGCCCGCTTGTTCTCTTCTCCCTACGTCGACAAACATAATATAGTATATGCCTTTACTCAACAGAGCATGGAAAACATTGGTCAATGGAAGTCTAAAGCCAAATACAGTGCCATTCTAGTGCATTTCACAGACCAAGCATACCAGAAACAGAGTAGCTGGGTGAGTGCGGTACCGTACGCAGGCTGAGAAGCACACTGCTAGAAAAAGGAGGCCGTGTTGCTGCTCGTACTCAAGCTAATTTGGGTAATAAGGCAAGGAACTGCAGCATACCATATACGTACGTACCAAGGACTAACTTCAAATCTTTACAATGGCAAAATTATAAATAAGGCTCATAGGAAAAAGCATTGAGCAATAAGACCTCCTGCTACCCTCTCTACCCTTTAACGCTGCCATCAATAGTGAATTTCTTAGTCTGCAGGTACTAATTAGATCAAAGGAGGGACAAACATAAGATCAAAGGAGGGACAAAGCATAAACCTGTAGTCCAATGACAGTTAAGGCCTAAACTGGGAGAGCACTTACTTGTGGAATAAGACTTGATCTCATCTTTTTGAGAGTAAGATGGAATAGTCATTCTATTTTATATGACTGTCCTGAAAGAACAGCCCAGCATTAATTCTGTATGACTGTGATTGCAGACTCTGTCAACTTATAAAGTAGTCCTTCAAGTGCAGATTTGTGCAATTCATAATTTGGAATTTGATGCTTCAATAATTAGGGCATGTGAAATAAACATATAATTGGAAAGAATCCATTCTTTAGCCATGTAAAGAAATAACTGATTCCTCTGTTACCATCACAAAAAGTATTAATGCTTTGGCCTTAAAACCTTCTTTACTGCAGAAAGCATATTACTTGAGAAATAAGGCTCTTAACTTTAGGGCTATACTCTATCATGTGTGTGACATTTGAGAACTTATTAAGAATCAAGAGGCACAACATTAAGGTTCTTCACAAAAGGGGAAAGAACCTTTAGTAGCAAAATGCAAATATGAAAGAATTATAAATTAATTATTTGCCTAGTCCCAGTTATTTAAGCAGTATTAATGTTTCATCATTTCTATTTAATAGAAAATGCAATGTTTAAGTAATGTGGTAATTGTATTTTTAAACACAATAGAACCGTATCTTTAATTGGAAAATCAGATTTTGCTACCAAAATAAAGATCTCAGAGTTGGGAATAGTTCCAGGTTACCATATTATGGAGAAGTCTATGGTGAATACTGCATATCAATCTGACAAAGGGTTAATTGTGAAAAATGTTACGAGTTTTATCTTTTTATAAATCAAGAGGTTAGTAAAAAGGTAGGCTTGCTGTTGATCATTAGAATACAAAACTATCTGTTGAAATCAATTAACATGCATATCTGATGACTGATTGTATAAATATGAAAGTCAAATAATTGTAATCGTTAACCATGGCTTCAGGTCATACGAGTTGTCAGCTCAGAAAAACTAGAGGAGAAGGAGGTTGATTTGCATATATTTAATGTGGCATGCTGTACATGTGGGAATTTGAGATAAACCTTTGCTAGTAATCTGCTTGTTTTTATCTAAAAATCGACTAGGAAATGTGGATCAACAGCCAAGTGAGCTCTGTGTTGTATTGATAGCAGCTGATTCAGTACTTTGGAATTTGACATTTTACTATATGTTTTAATATGTTAAAACTGTTATTTTACTAAGAGACAGTTGGAAGAAGCTGGTTAAAGAATTTATTCAAGAAATATTCAAAGTTCTTGCCAAAAGCATGCTCAAAACTATACTGTAACTGTTTATAAGACTTGATTACTTTTAAAATTGTTAGTTAGACTTAAGCAATATATATCACAAGCACTTTTATTCCTTTTTATGATGAAAAAAATCAGTAATAGAGATAAAATAAAAAATTTAAAGGAATACTGTCCGAAGTCACAAAAGTGTCTTTCTAAGTGAAGTGGACCAAACAGATAATTTTTAATTTAACTAATGAATTGTAATAAATAGAGGGGAAGAAAGCATGGCGAAGTGAGGCTTCTGGCCTTGAAAGGAATTGCATACTATTTAAGTTTTTTTTCCATGTGTAATGCAGAATATTTCACGCAACTCGCAGCGGTTCAAAGAATCCTTGGAATTTGCGGCACAGTTAGGAATTGGAACCTTACAGTACCAATACTATTGTTAAGTACATGTCTGTTTACCGTCTCTTTGCCCCTATTTTTCTGCTTCTGAACATTTAAAAACATTTTTTTCCTATCCTAAATTTTGAAATAGTTATCTCTTCTGAAGCTTCCTGTGGTTACAATGCATTTCATGAGTTCTCAAGTGGAAGAAGCAAACAGCTTTTTGTAAAGCAACAGCTGCCCCATTCCCTTATCAGTATATTTTATTACAGATATAGATATTTTAACTTCTGCAGAATACAGTTTTTCTATTTGATATAAATAACTTAATGAGGTACTATGTCTATTTATTGTTTAACCAGGTGAGCACCATAAACCCCAAACTCCGTTACTAATCTCTTTTTGGTTGTCTATGCCAATTAATTTCAAGTGAAAAGTATCCTTTATGAGATTTTAAGATACATACTCCAGAACAAAAAACAGTACAGACATTAGAGCACTCACCTCAGATATATAATGCATATAATGCTGATTCACGTTCCTGTCATGTATCACAGACAGAGGAACTTTAAAGCTGTGTTACTGCGATCTTGAGCAGGCACCTTAACCACTAAAATACTCTGGATTTAACTGATATTTCTGTTTTTTTCAAAAGGTCCTAATTTCACACTGAACATACTGAGAAAGCTATTAACTGTATAACAGGATTCTGTTGCCCCTTTTTTTTTTTTTTTCTTTCATTTAATATCAGGCACTTGGCAAACACTGATAATACAAATAAATTCAATCATTCCCTTATTGCCGAGAACTCTTGGTGTTCAAAAGGTCTTGATTTCATGCTGAACCTAATGAGAAAGTTTCGGAGCTAGCAGAACAGGGAACCCATCTCACCTGAATCTCTCAGTTTTAGCTC